ATGTCATCGTCGATTCTCTGCCTCGACCGAGTCGTCCCTCTCCAACGGAATGGAAATTGCATCCTCAGGTGTTCCAGACGTTTTGCCTTCCGTTGACGACGCTGACAGTAGATCTCTTCGCCACCTGGCGGCTCTTCAACCATCAGCTGCCTCGGGTTTGTGTCACCGATTCCGGATCTTCTGGCTTGGGACCTCGATGCTCTAACAATTCCATGGGACAACCTGAACGCTCACGCTGTTCCCCGCCAGTGTCCCTTCTTCCTCGCCAGATAGTGAAGCTTAAGTGCGATCTCAGAGCCTATTTGCTGGCCAGAAGTTGGTCTGTGAACCTCCCCAAGACCTAGCTGAATCCAGATCCCATGCCTCTTCCCGTTCGACCCGATCTACTGGTTCATCCGCAAGACTGACCAGCTCCATTGGTCTCCGTTGACGCCTCCATCTGCGTACCGTTTAGCGATCTTCATCGGGTCATTAACGGTTAAGGGCTATTCTAAGCGTGTAGCTACTGCAATTACCACAGCGCTCGTACTTCTAATGAGGTCACTCTACGTTATGACAAATGGAAGAACTTCGAAGCGCATTGCAGGAAGAAGGGCATCCTATCCCCATCTACGGGCGGCCCCCGCAGCTGGTGGCAGAGTATACATTCAGCATCTCCCTGAACCTCCAGAAAACTCAAAGGTTCTACGCTATCTACCTATTTGGCGGCTCTTAACACAGTTATTGCAGCGGCCTCGGGTGTGAAGGTGTCCACTGTTCCTGAACTCCAGTCTCTCCTCCGGTCTTACAAACTGGCTGACCAATCTCGGAAGTTCCGGCCTCCAGCTTGGGATCTTTCCGTTGTACTTGCTCATTTCACGTCAGCTGATTATGAACCTTTGGAGGAGAATGTCTCCTTTAAGATTTCCTTGGCATGTATTGCTGAGTTTAAGACCTTTCAGGTACTTTTAAAGGTTGGCCTTGCGAAAGTTTGGTTTGCGGTGGGATTTCCTTGCCAAGAATCAGTTACCAGGTCAGCCGGATCGCACATTCACGATTCCGCCGCTGTCCACTATGTTGGGCCCAGACGACACTGAGGATATGTCCTTATGCCCGGTGTGTGTGCATTAAGGATTTACCTAGCTGCCTCGCAGGATCGCCGCAAATTGCGTAAGAGATTGTTTTTTCCATTGTCTACTGCCTCCACCTCGGAAGTCTCCCGTACTACCTTGGCGTTTTGGATGAGAACTACGATCCTGCGTGCCTATGCCTTTGCTGAACTGCCTCCACCGTGAACGGCGAAACCCCATGAGACGCGTGCTCTTGCTTCCACCATGGCTATTCACAGAAATTGTTCCCTGCAGTCCATCATGGAGGGCTGTTTTTGGCGATCAGATACGGTGTTTGCTTCACACTACCTGAGGGACCTCTCAGTTACAGACGTGGAAGGTCTCCATCAGTTCAGCCCCCTGGTCCTAGCACAGCAGTTGTCATCGGCTTGTCGTTCGCAGATGAAGCAATCCTGCTTGGTCGGTTTTGCTCTGTACATAATAAAAGATATCGATGTTATCCATGTCTTAGTACTTTTTTCCGTTGGGTTTAGATTATTCTCTCCTATGGAAGTAGGGTGTGTCTGCACTGTCATTAGTTATGACTTGATAGACTGTGAGGCCAGTCTTGTGCTACATACAGAGATGATCGACACTTCACTTACTGACCTCTACTCTGTGAGCAATTACGTCAGGGAAGTGTTGATTTCCGATTACCTACATGGTTTTCGAAGCGTTCTACTCCTGAGTCCTTTCTCACCTTTGGTACGTTAGGGAGATTGGTACTGAACGTTAAACTAGTTGAGCATCCGAACTATTCCCTCTTTCACCGCCTTCCAGCGTGTGTCTGTGGGGGGTAGTTTCGAAGCAGGGACTGGCCAGATTTAGGTCCTCGAATTTAATTCACTGGGGTCACCTGATAAATCGTGGGGCGGCGGGGCCTACTTGCCAAACTGCGTCCTTTTGCTTGTCAAAAGTTGCGGCCGAATACCACATTAATTCGGGAGCACCCACTCCCTAGAGTTTTTGTGCTGTGTACGCCAAGGGGTTACATGAAGAAACCCATCTCAAGATGGAGTTTGCATATCGGGAGTCCTCCTTGGGTTATGCGTTTTTCCTGGTGGTAGTAACGGGGTAATCTGCCATCCACCTACCAACCGTGGGATTGTGCATACAGTGAGATAGGAAGATTTTTACAAATTTGTAAATTTTATTATAAATTGTATATTTATATACTTATCCTATCTCACGCGATAGGACCCACCCGACCTTCCCCACATCACAGATTACTAAAAGCTCCAAGACGAGAATGACAGGCACAGGTGGTCACATGATCATCTGAGCGAGCGGCACGCTTACAGAGATGATTGACAGGTGTTGATGTCGGAGTGAGGTCAGAGGTCAGGGCGGGTCAGAGGCCAGCAAGATTTGATTCAACTTAGCCTACAGCACGTTTCCACACATGGTCATAGAAGAAGAGAGCGGTGCAGTGAGATAGGATAAGTATATAAATATACAATTTAAAATAAAATATACAATTTTGTGAATATTGGGGTATTACTTTTACAAAAACAATATCGTGGGCTAAGCATTCCAAAAGTGCGGCTTTCACAGCTAGAACAGTTCTGTTAGGCATATAATGGACATTGCATAGATTTAACCCAATTCTGTTTGAATTATTCTTTAATATATTTGATACTAAAGTTATGCTTATTTTACTCTGTGGGTCTGAATTTGGGGGGCTAGATAGTGTAACAAATATAGAAACCATTCACGTGTAAACGCTTCCTTGGAGTGAAGGCATCGATATCAACTTACACAGTACTGGGTGAATGTATCAGATACATTTTGTATATTTTTGCATTTAAACGTTTTATAAAATTAAGGACTTTAGTGCACCAACAGCGCCAGTGAACCACAGTACCATGTTGTTCATGAATGATTATCAAATAGGGATAATACAACGATAATCTTATGGCTGGTGGGTACATGTACACTCATAGTGGCAAAACAAGTTGAGCAAAATACATTGAAATGCACCTCAAAACATATGAACAAACACAAAACAGGAAAAAAGCAAGAAGGGTACGAATTGGTTGTCTAGATACACACTGGGACAATGCATTCAAAACACAATGACACTGAGCATGGTATATTTTGACAAAGATTTCTAAAATTTGAGTCTTAAATCTGTTTAGTTTGTTTAGACGTTTTTTTGCAGATATATGATCAAAATGAAAACAACGTCACTGACACTGACTATCTTTATGGGAGGTACTTCCGGGTGGTGTTTACTTCTGACGGTAGCGAGGTCAATAGAGGCTTCAAACTGTACTATGGCCCTGGTAAGTATATAGTTGTCTTTCCTAGTATCCTATCTTAACAGATCTACATCGCATGAATAATTATACAGTTTGAGAATTCTAAAATACGTCCTGTGTATGCATTAGTTACTGTAAACCCATGTAGATGACGAATCAAGCAATAGTGCCACGACACATGTGTATGGTATACATAACCTGTCCACACGCATATCAATCAACACAAAAGTACGAAACATGCACATGCATATAATACCATGATACATGTACAATATTACGTACAATATTATGTATATTATAACCATACATTCGTACATAATGCCATGTCACAATATTATGCATAACTCGAAGTACCCACACACGGTCCGACCATTTCATAGTTGTCACATTTGAATACCGGTTACACGAATTCGTCACATAAACACACACATGACACACACACAAATTTGGTCCCATGACATTCAAACAACAGCAATCTTGTATACATAAGCCGAAGCCAGTCAATAAGAAGTTGATTGGTGTAGCAAACTGATCCACAACAAAACCAGCGCGGCTCACACCTTTCCGCCATTTTACGGAAATCACTGTCTGTGCTAATCAGACTGGAACTGATAAGGTGCCCCTATTAGTGATATGGAAATCATTAGATAAACAAACGCTTAGGGCCGAGGAATTAGGACTGGATCATCTTTTTTCTACCCTGATAGACATACCTATGTCTCGAATACATGGATAAGTCAATTTATTACTTGGTCCCCAGCGATTCGACTCATCGGGATTTGACTGTATGTGTGTGTGTGTGTGTGAAATTACACACATGCATACAGTAGCGAGGCACAATAGTACAAAGGGTAATGATGTCAGGAGATAATTGTACCACGTAAGTTCCCTTTTGGGTCTGCAGTAAATGCTCTTTCGATTGATTGTAGATTATTCATCATTCCCGGCATATCTCTCTACAGGTAAGCATGTACTTCTGCTCAATGCATAACTTGAAACTCTGAATGCTGATTATTTCGCTCGTACATTTGACCATCTTTATGAAGATGAAAGTGCACGGTAGTGAGATGAAATTGTGTTCGAGGTGGCGTTTAAACTTATTGCACTAATTTGCGATGCCAACGCACATGTGCTTGACAACAGTACAGAAATCTGTATAAACATGTCGCATTTACGAAACAAAATAAGTTGTTATCCATAAAGTTTGTCAATTATTTGCTTTCCCCCCATAATGCAATAGTGAAAGTCAGGATAACAAGTGCCAACTCTCCGTATAGTTTTGTAGCAGGTGTCCAGAAATCGAGCCATCGATCATCCGGTCTGCGGGCCGAGGCTCCCTCCACAAGACCACGGAGGTGGTCTGTGAAATGAAAAAGGATATAGTCTCAATAAGATTTACCAGTCAAAAAAACCCTGAAAACGTAAAATATGTCCGAAAGTTGTAAATTGGTTTTGTTCGTCAAATGTGATTATATACATCGAGTTTACACACAAAACTATTTTGATTTTGGCAACCAAGCACTAAGATTAGAAGATCATTGCAATTGGTTACCGGGTGCTTGGTCATGTCAGACGAAATGCGGACACAATGTCGAATTAAGACACTTCATGCGTCTGATCTTGAAATACATTTTCTAAATCTTTCCACCAGACTCCAGTTACAACAGACGGTCATCAAGCCCCTACCCTTGGAATGGAATGGCGAGCACATGTGAGTATTGCGAAATATGAAGACTGAGGTCAAGGGTGCTGTTTAAAAGAAACGTCCGTTCACACAGTTTTTAGAATATTCTGAGACATGTTTCATTTTCCTCCACAGACCCGTGGTATTGGTCCACTACAGACAGAGGTAAGTGTTTCAATACTCAAAAGGTGCAACATATCCGCGATATAAGAATTATGACTTTTATTCTCAACGTCTATGAACCGTGATACTGACACAGACGACTTATATAATCCAGTAACTGTCCACCGACATTTGTGATTTTCATACCACACCTACAGGGACTGTTATACTAACAAAAGTGATTAATCTCCTTAGGCTGGGGCTCCCGATGGCCTTACGCAAGCACCGAAGGTAAAATCGAGTTTTACATTTATTCTGCAGTTTTACATTTATTCTGCAGTTTTATATTTTTTCTGCAAGCATTTTGAATTGAATGTTTTGTGAAGGTTATAATGTTCAGTTTTGAGCTAGCGCCAACATATTATTGAAATTAAAGTTTCTTTTATGCAAAATATAATTTCTCAGTTCATAACAAGTTTTATGTTTGTTCTTTTGCGATGAAACAAACATCAATTCCACTTGCAAATATTTACCAATTCAATATTTTTTAGGAACCACGTCGGACTGGCGATATCAGACGTCATCTGGCAGCAGTTACGGTATGTGTTGAGTTGCAAAATACCAATAGACAAGGACACACACATTCTTGTTGAAACGTTGAACATATGTGCCAGCGATGGGAAGTAACATTAATAGTAAGAGATAGTCAAGACGTTCGACTTCAAAACGAAGACATCGGAACTAGCTTTCTCCCTTTCTTTTCTCGACATGTGCTACAGCAACTTAAAACACATGGAGACACCTTCTACATGTTATCACTTACTGCAGTGTTATAAGTGAGTTGTTGATTTCTGGCAGTATGTGTTTGTGATTGCCATGGTTATGATTTTGAATTAAATGAATTCGTTGGTTATTGACACACATGACAAGTTTCGACTTTGAACTGTGAGTTTGGAGGGGAACACATTTTATCGGGAATATAGTATATGTTCGATCATGAGTACAAATTCCAACTGGTGAAAATGATTTCGTAAACAAAATCCTTTCAACGTAACCATCCAAGTCGAACCTAATGATGTTACATACACGATGCTTTCTTAAAGATTCCGGACCAAGATGCTCTATTCCGCTCTCAGGCCCACCTACAATGCTTGAGCACATGAATCACTCTGGGTAGAAAGCATCCTCCTTGTTGTATAAAAATCCCCCAGAACAGAAATGAAGTCATTTACATTTACTTCCACTCTTGGACGCCGCTGTCCATCCTTCAAGAGCGCAAACGTAGGGAGCATCGTCCCCTAGAGATGACATGGTCGCATGTGTGACTCCTTATTATCTTCTCATTATCAGTTGGATCTGCTTGATGACGGCACGGTAGCCATGTCTCACCAAAGTTTCATCAACACCTTCTGTAGATATATTTTCCCATGTTGTATATATCTGGTTCAAATCTATTATGTGAGCATGGATAGTATAGTACTTAATACCTATTAACTGTTATGGGTTTATTGTTAGGCTTGGAACTCTTATTGCTTATTATGTAACACAGAAAGCGATCGTTTCCACTTCAGCTTTGTTATCTTTTCTCAATAATATCTATGTATTTTTGTGTTGACGATTTTTATAAGTGCATAATTGATAATTATACATGCAGTGACTACACTGAGTCACTGGTTACTCACCCCAGCAAGCTCTGACCATCCTTATTAATGATACAACATCCAAAAGCTGTAGTTGATAATTGCTCTAATTGATGTTCTGTCATCATAGGTGAATATACAATTACAACATTTCAGGCTGCGGAACAAAACACGGCAACAGCTTGTCGGGGTACATCACATCTCCTAACTACCCAGGGGACTACTTCAACAACGCCCACTGCGAATACATCATCGACCCTGGCACTTACGTCTACCTTCGCGTCGTCGACAAAGTCATGGAGTCTTGCTGTGACCATCTCGTGGTATAGTAGATATACCCAATCTCTCTCATACAGTAACGTGAAACAAACCGAGCACTGATTGATCGATGTTTGAAGGATATGTGAATGTATGTAGTTCGATCAGCCTGAATCACGATAATATGTTTTGTTGTGTGATTGGCATTCTTGAAGCTGGAGGGTAAGTAAGGAAGCGTACAATTATACAGATAGGAACATCTTGCTTACTGAAAAGAGCGACGTTTCGATATGGATTCTTACACCGTTATCAAGCTAATATTGAATATTGCTGAGAAGTATATGTGCATACTATTTTGTGACAGGCATCACCTATCATTACAAGGGTGTAGTCAATGTTATCTATAAAGTTGTATGCTTTCATATCACATGCTTCCCGTCCTTTCCCCTTATTGATGTGACCCGTGAAGATCCGGGTTAGAATTGGTCTTCAGTAGCCCATGCTTGTCGTAGGAGGCGAATAACGGGATCGGGTGGTCAGACTCGCCGACTCCAGCTAGTGAACAAGACATACCTGACAGCCGACAAACGCAATAACATGAACATATCACACATCCAAACACACAATTACATGCATACAATAGAGCAACAAAACCCTTTTGAGTTTTATGAATACTCACAAGGTGCAACAATATACAACGTCAAAGCGATAGAATGACAAATCTCGAGTACTCCACAACAATCTCCACTGGGCGTACAATGTATATAAAAGCATCGACAATTACATGAATGGATTACATGAATGGTGTGATTACATGAATGCAGAGATTCTGCTGCTTTATGTTCAAACAAACAGAAAGATAGAAATAAGTTCATAAGACACAATGGCTGAATGTCTCGACCCAAACATTTCTTTCGTAGCTTTGAGTAAGCATAACTGAAACATTCCATTCATTCTATGACGAAACGTAACCAAGGACTTTAGTCCACCAACAGAGCCATTGAACTACTGGATCATGGGAATGTTTTTTTATGAATCGGATAGGGTTAATACAAGGTATTCGAAAAAACACACAACACGACAAAAGTATATCTGATGGGTGCACTCATAGTGACGAAATATGCAACGCAAAATACACTGAAATGTCCCTCACGAAACACGAATGGAAAAGCACATAAAAACACATGGAAAAGGCAAGAAGGTTATCCAAATACAATAAACACCACAATCGGGAATGTATACATAAAACAAATTCAATGACACTGTGAAATTTCAAGACAGTTTTGACAATGATCCTGAAATATCATTCTTACATGTGTTTAGATTTGTTACCTTAAGACTAAGTTTTTTACAGATTTATGACCAACATGGAAACGACGTGACTGGCAATGTTTATCTTTATGGGAGGTACTTCCGGGTTGTGTTTACTTCTGACGGCAGCAATGTCCAAAGAGGCTTCAAACTGTACTATGGTCCAGGTATGTTGTTATCTTGCCTATACTCTCATCTTAACAGCTCTACTTTGCATTCATAATCTACAGTTTGGGGAATTATAATTACTAGTACATACGTCCTGTGTATGCGTTAGTTACTCAAACTCATGAAGATTACGTATGAAATGACATATATGTATACATAAAAACATAATACATACCTAAAACGACTGGTCACTCATCCACGAACACCATACTATGACATATGTACATTGATACAACACCACGAGACATACACAAGACACATACAGTAGCAAGACGATAAACTTGTAAATGATGTGCAAATGTAGACTAATTATGTCCGGAGACCATTCTACTACATAAGTTCCCTGTTGGGCCTGAAGTAAATTCTTTTTTCGATTGATTGTAGATGACTCATCATTCCCGACGTATCCCACGACAGGTAAGAATAATTCTGCTCAGTGCATAGCTTGAACCTCTGAATGCTGTTTTTTTCGCTAGTACATTTGACCCTCTTTTTAAACATGACACTGAGAGGTAGTGAAACGATATGAGGTTCGAAGTCTCTGTTAGATGTATTGCACTAAACTTGTGACGCGCACGCACATGTGCTTGGCAACTGAACAGGGATCTGTATCCGAATGTCGCACTTACGAAACAAAAGAATCAGTTATCCATAAAATTTGTCTATATTTTGCTTCTCCCCATAATACAATAGTGAAAGGAAGGATAGTGTAGATTTGTAGAAGGTGTCCAGAAATCAAGCCATCGACCAACCGCTCTCCGGGCCGACGCCCCCTCCACAAGACCACGGAGGTGGTCTGTGAAAAGAAAAAGAATGATATACAATGTAGTCACAATAATATTTACCAGTCAAAAACCCCCAGAAAACGTAAGATGTGTCCGAAAGCTAGAAATGCGGTTTTGTTCGTCGAATGTGATTATATACATCGAGTTTACGCACAAAACTATTTTGCAATTGGCGACCAAGCGCAAAGAGTAGAATCTAGATCATTGGTTATCCGGGTGCTTGGCCATGCCAGACACATATGCGGATACAATGTCGAATCAAGACACTTCATGCGTCAGATTTTTAAATACATTTTCTAACTCTCTCCACCAGACTCAAGTTACAACAGACGGTCATCAAGCCCCTACCCTTGGAATGGAATGGCGACCACATGTGAGTATTGCGAAATATGAAGACTGAGGTCAAGGATGCTGTTTAAAAGAAACGTCCGTTCACACAAATTGTAAAATATTCTGAGACATGTTTCATTTTCCTCCACAGACCCGTGGTATTGGTCCACTACAGACAGAGGTAAGTGTTTCAATACTCAAACGGTGCAACATATCCGCGATATATGAATTATGATTTTCATACTTCACGTCTGTGAACCGTGATACTGACACAGGCGACTTTTATATCCAGGAACTGTCCACCGACATTTGTGATTTTCATACCACACCTACAGGGATTGTTATACTAACAAAAGTGATTTTTTATCTCAATAGGCTGGGGCTCCCGATGGCCTTACGCAAGCACTGAAGGTAAAACCGAGTTTCACATTTATTCTGCTATGGTGTAAGATTGGTACAAACGATGAGTGTCGTGCAATCTTGTTTAATGCTTCCAGACATGTTACATAATGGCTCGCTCTGGTTGCGGCCATGTGGGAGACGACAGCGAGGCTCGGTGTATACTAAAACTTGGCATGCATTAATGTATAACATGGAATGTCAATTGACCGGAATATGGATTCTACATCTCCCTTTCTTTTTAAGTGATTTACAATATTGTAAGAATAATATAGTATCATACAGTAAGAGGGCTGTTAGAAAACTGACGATGAGATTTGCGATTATGCTTGAACATAATAGCAAACTTGGCACTTGTTGTTTGGCAAGGTTATCTGCAGAGTTCTGTTTTGACTAGCATACACTAGTGGCCATGATAGGGAAACCATGGACTGTTAATGTCTTTCTCGGTCACATTGCTTAAATTGTTTTTACAGTTATGTTTAGCACCAAGCACAATTTATGATAGGAACGACTGTAAACTTTAAAGTTCAAATCAAACTCTTCATTAACATAACTGGAACGTTGAACACAGTCTTTGAACAGCTGTTGAACAGTGTCTGTTTCTGTTTAATATGCATATCTTGGGTTGGGTTGCACTATTCTTCCACTCCTCGTTTTTGTTAGAGTATGTTTTGTTGCAGCTGGGGATGTGTGGTCGGTGTGGGACTTTGGCGACGTCGTTGCTGCATATTTCACCGGTGGTGGTTTGATGGGTGTTCTCACAGGTGGTGGTTTGCTGGGCGATTTCACTGGCGATGGTTTGGAAGGTGTTTGCTCCTCCAGCTGATGCTTTTGTTGTGGTTGCACTGGTTCTATCTGTTGTTTTTGTTGTGGAGATGTGTAGCATTGTCTCTTCTTGATATCTTCAGGCATTAGAAGTAGGTGTCTTCTGTTGCGCCGGTATGTTCTGCCATCCGATTCAACAATGTAGGACCTTGGTGTGTCATGCATGTCTTTTACAACTCCTAGTTTGTCATAACCCTTTTCTGACTGTAATCTAACTTTGTCACCTGGAATGAGTTGTCCCAGTGGTTTTGCTGTTTTGTCGTATTGTTGTTTTTGATGTTGTCCGATGTTCAGCAGCCTGTTTCTGATTACTTGTGGATCCTTGAGAGAAGGTTCAAGTAGTGTTTTTGACATGGGGAGCTGTGTTTTAGTCCGTCTCGCCATCAGTCGTTGAGCCGAGGATCCCAAAATTGGATCTCTTGGTGTGTTGCGCTGATTCAGTATTGCTAGATATGGGTCTGTTCTGTCCATGTCACACTTCTCAAGAAGGCTTTTGGCTGATCTCACCGCGCGTTCTGCAAGTCCGTTGCTTTGTGGGTAATTAGGACTGCTGGTTTTGTGCTTGAACCCCCAGGTTGATGCAAATTCAGAGAATTCTGTTGAGGTGTATTGTGGGCCATTGTCGGAATAGAGTACATCTGGTATTCCGAAACGAGCGAAATGGCTTTTCAGTTTCCTGATTATCGCGGTTGAAACTGTGGTGTCTAGTATGTTGATCTCGTACCATCCGGAGTAAGCGTCAACTAACACAAGATGATTCTTTCCTTTCCATGTAAAAAAGGTCTGTTGCTACAGCTTGCCAGGGTCTCTCTGGAACACTGTGTTGTTTTAGCGGCTCTTTCTGCTGGTGTGTTTTGCAGCTGTTGCAAATCTGGCACAGTGTGGTAAGTCTGTCTATATCATTGTTGATTTCTGGCCAATATAGGAACTCTCTAGCCCTCTTCTTGGATGCTTGGGCTGAGATGTGGCCTTTGTGTACTTGTTCCATGTATTCAGTCCTCAGACTTGGAGGTACCACAATCTTCTCGCCTTTGTATATAATTCCTGAGTATTCAGCGAGCTCGTCCCTGAATGAGTGATATGGTTTGGCATCTGGGTGTACATCTTTTCTGTATTCTGGCCATCCGTAGTATATGTAACGGCTCAGCAGTTGCATTAGTTGATCTTCGGCTGTTTCCCGTTGCAGCTGCTCTGTTCGCTGTTCTGTCATGGGCAGAACTGTCAATACCTCAAACTCTTCTTCATTGTTAGAGGTATCTTCTAAGTATGCTCGTGAGAGTGTGTCGGCAATTATTAAGTCCTTCCCTCTCTTGTATACCAGATCAATGGAATACTGCTGTAGTTTTAGTAGCATGCGTTGTAGCCTTGCTGGTGCTGCAAACAGTGGTTTCTTGCATATGGTAATGAGTGGTTGATGGTCTGTTTCAACTGTAACTCTTTTGCCATAAATGTAATCATGAAACTTCTCACAGGCGAAGAGGATTGCTAACAACTCCTTCTCGATTTGAGCATAGTTTGTTTGTGATTTCGTCATGGATTTGGACGCATAGGCTATTGGATGTCCTTCCTGGATTACTGCTGCACCCAATCCACTCTTGGAGGCGTCACATGTTAGAGTGACAGGCTTTGTAACATCATAGAATTTCAGGGTAGCTGAGTTGCTGATTTCTTTCTTTATTGCTTCAGTTGCTGTCCTACATTTGGAGGACCACTCCCATGTAGTCTCTTTCTTTAAGAGCTCTCTCAGTGGTGCTGCCAACTCACTGAGATGGGGAATGAACTTTGCCAGGTAAGTAACCATTCCTAGGAATCTACGCAGTGACGGCAATCCCTCAGGTTCTGGCATATTGACAATTGCTCGGACCTTCTCAGGGTCAGGTCTGACACCTTCAGCTGTCAGTATGTGACCAACATAGCTCACTTCCTTTTCTTTGAAGTGGAACTTGTCCGGGTTCAGTTTCAGGCCTATTTCATCCGCTTTGTTGAGTACTCTGATGACGTTATTGTCATGCTGTTCTTCTGTTTCTCCCCAAACAAGTAGGTCATCCATTATACCTTCACATGGTAGACCACTGAATAGACTGTCCATGTGTTTCTGAAACACTTCACTGGCTGAAGTGATGCCAAACGGCATTCTTAGGTATCTATAACGTCCATATGGGGTATTGAACGTCGTCAACATCGATGTTGCATGTGATAATGGAATCTGCCAGAATCCCCGCGATGCATCTAGCTTGGTGAAGAATTTCGCCTTGGGCATTCTTGCTATGATTTCTTCTACTGTCCTCATGGGGTAGTGCTGTCGCTTCAAAGCCTTGTTGAGGTCAATTGGATCAATACAAATCCGTATTTTGTCTGTGTTTTTCTTCTTTGCTATCACCATAGACGAGACCCAGTCCGTCGGTTCAGTCACTGGTGTGATCACTCCTTGTTCCACCATTGAGTCTAACTCCTGCTTGACTTTGTCCTGCATTGCCACAGGAATGCGCCTAGGTGCCCTGATCACAGGTACTATGTCGGGGTCCAGCTCAGCACTGTATTCTACAGGTAAGTTCCCCAGTCTTCCGTCGAAGAGAGTAGGGTATCCCTTCATAATCTGTGCCTTGGTCAGTGGTTCATAGTTTTGTGTGTTTTTCATTGTTAGTTCACACACACTGTATACATCCTCGTCGAAGGATAGTAGCTTAAGGCGTACACTGTCACGTAGTCCTACTATAGGCTTGAGCTGTTGTTCTATGACATGAAAGGTTAGCAGCTCTTCTCTATCTTTGAATCTACACTTGATTTGGGTTCTTCCCAATGTTTTCAAGGAACTCCCTCCATAGCTGACCAATGTTACTATGTGTTGTTTGCTGATTTTCTCTTTGTCTCTCACCTTCTTGAACCAGGATAGTGGTAAGACATTACATTTGGCACCTGTGTCAACTTTAAGCCTTATTTCCTCATTGTTTGCAAGTAGGGTGGCATATGCTTCCAGTGGCGACTCCTCAATTCCATCCACCTCTAGGGAATCTATGAATAGAAAGCTGTCGGTATCACTATCAGAGTCTTCATAATATTCTTCATCAATGTCATGAACTGTTCGCTTTGCCTTTCTTTTTGTTTGCTTTTCATGTCTCCTGTCTCTGCTTCTTGGGTTTCCATTCTCATTATCACTGTGCGGAGCTTTACAAACACTTGCAAAGTGGTTCATTTTGTTACAGTTGTGACACTTCTTGCCACGTGCTGGGCAACGTCCAACTGGATGTGAGTATGTGCAGTTCCTGCATGTAGGCGGAGATTTATGTTGTTTTCTTCTTTCATTTCTAGCACCGTGTATAGCATGTACCTCTGCTGTTGATTTGTTTGTGAGTTCTTGTAGGCCCTTTTCCGTGATTTCGTTGAGAGTGCATATGGTAACAGCTTTAGCTAAAGTTAAAGCAGTTTCTTTCAGCAAAGATTTCCTTAGATTGTCCGAATCTACACCACACACTATTCTGTCCCTGGTCATTTCATCTTTGAGAGCGCCAAAATTGCATGAATTTGACTTATTCACTAAATCTGTATAGAAAGTTTGGAAATGTTCACCTCTGCTCTGATTTCGAGTGAAAAATCGAAAACGCTCCAACGTAATGTTTGTCTGTGGCTTACACAGTTCGCTGAACTTATCTTTGAGGACTTGTAGGCTTGCCCTTGATTCTGCCAACCCGTACGTAAAAGACTTTTCCCTTTCGATTGCTTCCTTTCCTGCAATGTTCAAGAAGATATATGCCTGCGTTTTGTCATCCTTATCACCATGCGCAGCTTCCAGGAAAATGTCAAACTCCTGTTCAAACTGTCTCCAGTTCTCGGCAATGTCACCTTCAAATGAAAGCGGTTTTGGCCGGTTGAATCCGTCCGCCATTGTAACTTCGAAGCGCGCTGACCGGCTTTCGAAATTTCAGTCACACTCACAGAATGTCCTAATCTTCATCCGTTGCGAAATGTCGCCTGATGAATCCTGGGAATATGATCCCGCTTCTGACACCATGTAAGATTGGTACAAACGATGAGTGTCGTGCAATCTTGTTTAATGCTTCCAGACATGTTACATAATGGCTCGCTCTGGTTGCGGCCATGTGGGAGACGACAGCGAGGCTCGGTGTATACTAAAACTTGGCATGCATTAATGTATAACATGGAATGTCAATTGACCGGAATATGGATTCTACAAGAATGTGGGGAGACGAGCTACAGCACCAGTGGCGTTTTCCAATCTCCGAACTACCCCAGCAGCTACTCCAACAACCTCTACTGTGTCTACGGGATCTACCCATCTTACAACATAGAACTGAGCATTGACGATTTGATGTTAGAACAGAATTATGACATCCTGAGGGTAATGAAAACACTTTCATACTTTTGTCTTTTCTTTATGACTGGATAATGTTATCAATAGTGGTTTGATTAACGTGAAGGCGCTTTATGACAGAATTGTCTTGTGCACAAACATATTTGTCCGATGATTCTCTTGTGAAGCATGTCAAGGTTCCACAGCTATATAACACAGGCAAGACTTTATCGTTATGTCAGAGTTGATGATGCTTCTGAACTGATGGATGATGCAGAAATGCTTGTCAACCAAGATAAATTCATTATTTTAAATTGCCGAAGTCTGGTTTTTAAAGGAAGGCTCTCTAACCGACAACTGCATCGTGTTTATGTCCAGTGTGTTGAGAAGAGCTTATTTGAAGTAGGCAGGCTTTAAACGTGAAACAACAGCCTTCTGTTAGCCGCTCATAGTCATTTTCAACTTAATACGGTTGTGATTTTGCATCAAACTGTAATATAATTACGAAATGTACAAGAAGTTAACGACTGTCCAATAAGGACAGGAGTGACGCTGTATCTTACGCTTTCCTCTTTTCCCCCTTTTGACAAAGAGGTGAATCAGTGGTACGATCTAGAATATCGACTTAGCAGAGCTTCTATGGAGAAATCCTATCCGCTCAGGGTTTGGAGGGCAAGAGCCCCAGCTGAGCCTAACCAGCCTGACTGTTCTTGCGTCACCAAATTTGCTGCATTTAGTTATTATTATCTGAAAATAATAACAACAATGTGCTACTACCTCATATTCCCCCATATACTGTTCTTTCCATTTCAAAATATTAGAACTGTCATAACTAATAATTTACTGGAACACGGTGTAGTGAAAAGATCGGTACATATTTTAATATCACCTCTACCACCTATATAGAATCCAATACAGAACCAGCCTGAGGTATGAGAGTATACCTCTAACCATCACACAGCTTAGTCGACTCTGCATGTGTTTCAGATTTCATACGAAGATGTGTATGGGTACCAACGGAATGTGTCATTTACCGGTGACAGTCGTGACACAATAGTTGGCAGACAGTTTAAAATGACCTTCACAACTGACGGAAGCAATACTCGCCAAGGATTCAGGCTGTCCTGGAGGAGATATGGTACCGCAGTATAGTAGCTCTAACCCTGATAATGACCTACACAGATATGGTACCGCAGTATAATAGCTCCAACCCTGATAATGACCTACAATGAAAAGATATTTCCCCAGCCGGCTTCCAGTCAGCACACAGAGTACGAAGTAGAACATGTACCTTACTGAGAAAGTGTAATCCCAAACATCACATATATTGTATTTGGCCACTTTATAAGTGGCAGTGTGTATGATGTTGATTACCAGTCTGATTTTGGTTCCCAACCTCTCCACTGTTACACAAATACTCCTTAGTATTTTTATGTCAAATTCTTTCATTGTTTCAGATTCATGGGGATCAACGACGAATGGATACTATCGTAAGATATTTCACAAACCTATTCGTTTATGAAGAATGGCTATAATAATTAATTATAGGGAATGTCCTGTATTTACATTACATTTCTTCAGATTCCACAATACTTCCAACTTCATGTGGCAATAGTTTAATACATGTGTCCACTGTCAAATTATTGTACCAGATCAATGTTCGTTGTAATTGTTGCTCTGCGTCTATCATAACATCAGATGAAGAGTGACCTGATTAGATCCAACAAGTTGCTAGGTATAGTCTTCAGGAAGCGTCATCACGTGGCTCGCCTAGTAACAGGGGGCGTAATCGAGGAAGGACTTTGGTTGTAACTGTGCTGAACACTGTAATGTTACACATTAAATAGCCGCACGAGCCTCATGCTGTTGTCAGAATCATCAGATTGCTTTGAGCAATCGCCCTCACATTCTAATTCATTAGTTCAATATACATGCTGTTGAGTTTTACGAAGATGATAACGGTCGGAGATATACAAAACCCGAATGCTCTCACTCACCACACCCCTACCTACTACCTCACTCACTCACCAGACCCCTACCTGCTACCTCACTCACTCACCACACCCCTACCTACTACCTCACTCTCTCACCAGACCCCTACCTACTACCTCACTCATTAACCACACCCCTATTTACTACCTCACTCACTCACCAGACCCCTATCTACTACCTAACTCACTCACCACACCCCTACCTACTAACTCACTCATCACACCCTCTACCTGCTACCTCACTCACTCACCACACCCCTACCTACTAACTCACTCATCACACCCCTACCTGCCTCCTCACTCACACACCTCTACCTGCTACCTCACTCACCACCTCACCACACCCCCTACCTGCTACCTAACTCACTCACCAGACCCCTATCTACTACCTCACTCACTCACCAGACCCCTACCTAACTCACTCTCACTCACCAGACCCCTACCTACTAACCTCACTCACCTGATACCTATATCATTCCCAGAAACCGAGCAGCACCTGGTGGGGCTGGTCATCACAAGGTAGGTAAACCGTCTATCAGTGCCTGATGTGAAGAGTAGTGTATACTTTATAAATGTGTTATTTCCCCAATGGAATCCATATTGGTCAAGTATGTCGGCTGCGAATTTTACATGCATATGTAACAACGTAGAAACACACATTGAGACAACATTAATTTTGATTTGTTCTAAAGTCTTGGCCGTATATTTGATTATTAAAACCTATGGTATGAGATCTCTGGTCCGTTTCTTTGTAATAGAGAAGCTCTCAAATTGCTTCTATATGATCGATGTCCAGTAGTATATATATAGCATGGTCAAAACTTGTTACCTCACATCACTCTTGTATCAGTCGGAAGCTTGCGTTAATAACTCAGCATGGCATTGACAGTTACAGATTAGATCCAACAAGTTGCTGTAGGTATAGTCTTCAGGAAGCGTCATCACGTGGCTATCGCCTAGTAACAGGGGGCGTAATCGAGGAAGGACTTTGGTTGTAACTGTGCTGAACACTGTAATGTGTTTGTTCGATACTTTACTTCGTAATATCAGGTTTCAAAATAACGATGAGTAAATCAAATGTTTCCTCGTAGCTATATGTTGCATGAAAGGCCCATTCTTTCTTTCTTCTCATCAGCCCCATCTGTCATGGTCACCCAGTGACTCCAGAGATTTCAAAGTGACTGTACCACGTGACATGATTCAACAAGTGTTTCCGGGTCATCTCCATATGACCTGACCCTGGATGACCCTAACTGCAGGGGACAAGTCTACTATGACGTTGTGGATGTTTCGTTCAAACATCCTTGGTTGTGTATGACAAGGAGGTAACTAACCCGTCCCTATTACGTGTTGTTTTCGGTAAAGCAAAAATATCATGTTACTTTGTAAACATTGATTTCACGTAATGTTGAAATAGAAAACACGAACGAAATATTAATACTGATGTCGATGTGGATGTATAAATGCAATTAGTAGTATATACTAACTGAAAAAGTGAACTTCCCTTCATATAATGTTAATATATAATGTTATATAAAATAGGGGGCGGTAGCCTAGTGGTTAAAGCGTTTGCTCTTCACGCTGATGTGAAGCCCATTTCTGGTGTACCCACACGTGATATTGCTGAATATTGCGAAAAGCAAACTAAACTCACTCACTCACTCAATAAAAAAATATATTTACTGTGATATGATATGATATATGTCCTTGGAAATAGTTTTACACGTAATATTAACATACATGTCAATGTATTCGAAAGTTCACACCCGATCAGTTAAACATACAAGTTGAATTCATATTTACATTATTTTTGTGGAAGTAATCTAAAATCCATACCATTCCTTTATTTTACAATTATGTCACAGAGGACAGGAACACTTTTGTT